TCCTCGTGGCTGCAGATGGACAAACATTAAAATGCAGAAATCAGCAAGCGGACATCAAATCTGTCTCGGACCAAAATGAGGGGAAAGTAATTTGAATGCACAAATGATTCATTTCAGGGAATAGTTCAGTGTTAGGAGAGCAGATGACTCATTTATTAAAAACGTTTATACTGAGGCAGCTTCATATTAAACCCTCCTATCTGAGAACGAGACATGAGGCCGTCGGACTGTTAAGTGCTACCCTGACATTACCATCTACCGTCGATGTGCTGTTATGAAACCATCAGCAGAGGAACTGCTGTACTTACACAATACCTTGCTCATTTCAGCATGTATTAAACTCAGGCAGTAAACCACGCATGAAAGGACGCAATACTCTTCCTCCTCTTCTTCCTGCAGCAACAACAACAACAACTACAGCGGCAGTCACATTCTACTTCCATGCCTGTCATAACATCCTGCCGTCTCCTTGGATGGCGCTCAGGAGGAGGTAGGAGGTCACGGAGGCTCGCACATTATGGTGGCACATCTGCGCGTGGAGAGGGAAACATGCTGTCTTCAGCATGCGGCCTGGGAAAAAGCCAAAGCTGCGCCTGCAGCTCTGTGAGATGTCGGAACAGTTTACGAGAAATCCAGGAAGCAAGCCTCTGCCCAGATCTCGAAAGAGGCAAGGAGGGTGCCGACGCGTTAGACCTGGACCGTTCAAGCTTGGCGTGCCCAATTTAAACTTCTAATTAAATCACCCACCTGAAACCTGTTTGATGATGAGAAACTTTTGCCTTGAGATGGTTACAGTTTCCCATGAATGTGAAGTCGCAAATCAAAAACTATAAAATGATGATTTTGTAGACATGTGAGAAAGAAAAGTGGGAGGCACAGAGCTGCAGCACATCAGTGGAAGACAGCGGTTATATATCTGAAATGAATCTGGTTTTCTGTCCCGGGGTAACATTTAGATCAGCGCTGTATGAAATATGAGCACAAAATGAATCTTTTGATGCATTTTCACTGACAAAACTTCACAAAGTTCATTCCTTTATTCTGACTCCACAGACAAAAACACGGCAGATTACTTTACTGCAAGATTTCCTCCCTCGATGACTCACAAACACACGTAGTGCACATTTATGCACACGAGTCCAAATTAATGAGATAAAACTCATTAGTGCACATGAGGATAACATTTTAGATAACCTGACATATATATGAAAGAAAAGCTTGAAGCTCACTCTCATACTATGATCACATGGTTTATATTTTCTGTCATATGCTTCGGTATTAGAAACGTGTACTCTGGGTATTAACAGGCTGAGTTCACTGTGCAGGAATATCGCGATTAAAATATAAACCCAGCTTTTTGTCATGCTGCATGGATTCACATCTACTTCTTTTGCTTTCACACTTGTGATTATTAAACTTTGTCCCAGACCTGAGCTGAATTAAATCATACCTGACTTGAAATCCCAGGACCAGGCTAGGCTCTTTCTTTACAATTAAAAGTTGTTTCATCCTCTTTGAAATTATATCAAAATGTATGAACTGTGTTAAGAAAAAAAAGAAACAGCAGCTCAACACTTTTTAATGTAATACATGTCTGAGTTATGATTTTGGAATATTCTAATAATCAGTAATCAGATGTTTAAGGTTTCAGTGTGTGTGTTTTACACGCTGTAAGTGCACATGTGCTACAAAGGAAGTGTGAAAGAATGAAGAGAGATTGTGTGTGTGTGTGTGTGCGTGTGAGAGAGAGAGTGAGTGGGAAGAGCGCTGAAACAGGAATAAAGCCGCGTACCGGTGGGACTTTAGCGAGCACTGCGCCATTCTACTCACTCCATCTATCAGTGACCCGCCCCAGCAACTCGGTGGATACATGCACGTGTGCACTTATGTCTTTGTGAGGACCCGTCGAGGACATTTTAGAGGTTTAGACATTTTTTGGTTTTGGTTTTGTGATGGTTCTGGGTAAGGAACACAAAATATACTTCTCACAAACATAGCTAGACGTGTGTGTGTGTGTGCGTGTGTGTGTGTGCTGAGCATGGAGTGTAGTTACACACTGCAGTGAGCAGCGTCCTTGCTGCTGCTCGCTCTGTGTTTCGCCTCCTGAGGTTTAAAATGGATTTTCTGCTTTGATAAAAGCTGATAAATCCAATTATATCAGTGCTTTGCTTTTTCCTATAATCCACCATTTGAGAGATTAGAGCACTAGCACTGACTGTGGTCTGCAGTGTGTGGACTGACTCTATGGTCTGTTATATTTGGCTTCTATATCATCATCAAAACACTTATTCAGGTCTCTGTGTCACATTGGATCTTCCACATGTTTTCATTTTCTCACAGAACTTTATCCGAGCACTGGAAACCACCACAAATTGGTCTCGTTGGTCTATAGATGGTGTGTCCAGAGCGTGAAGCATTTCCATGTGTGGTCTACGTCTATGACATAACTTTTTAGCTCCTGTTATGACAGGGCAAGTGAGAGTGGATAAGAAAGGTGGGAGAGAGGGGAGGAGGAGGGTGGATTCAAGCTCAGGCCTGTGCAGTAGGTCACCTGTTTAACCCAGTGAGCTTTACTGAAGCAGGTGGGGTGCGGACATCAGCTGAACAGGTATTAAAGGTTTCTCTGTGTTCTTCTGCTCATCATTTTAATGAATAATACTGCCACAAAGTGTTATTTTCTTCAGTTTTTCCATTGATTTTGCTTCTGTGAGAGAGAAAATCTGGATTTTTTTTCTGCATGTTGAAGATCTGTAGAAGCCACCAGATTCAGTGTGTGCGTTTGTGTGTGTACTGTGGGATGTTCATGCTGGGATACTCTGGTTTACTTTGTAGAAGTATGTTTGTTTCAAGTCTACCTTTGCTGCTAGGCTCTGCCTCAGTCTTTATTTCCTCCTTCCTCCTTCCTTTCTACCATTTCTCTGCTCTTTTCTCCTTCCTCCATCCTTTCTTCTTCCAAACACATTATTCTTTTATCATTTCTATTCTCCCACGTGTTTCCCTCTTTTTTCCTGGTCTTATGTTTATTTTTAAAGGAATAATGTAATATGAGGCAAAGCACTGGGCACCTTCACATTACACCTACAGGAGCCCCTCAGCCACGAAGTTCCTGACGCACATTTTCTGTGCTGATGTTAATGCCAGAGGAGATTTGGAGCTCTGCAGCGTCTTTGCACTACAAGCGTCAGCTGCGAGCCCGCTCTGAGCTGCTGTGGTTGCTAAATGCTTCCACATACAGCTGATTGTGGAATATCTAACAGGACACACATTTCTTGTCTTGTCTTGTGCTCAGTGAACTCCTCTCACTGTGTCACAGATGTTGGTAGAGGCAGACTGCATGGCCAGGCACTTGATTTGAATTCACAGATGAAGTGGTGTAGCCCAGTACTTTTGTCCATATGGTGTATGCTCATTGGTAACGATCCGTGTGTGGCTTTGTGAGAACCACTCTGCAAACTCTGGTGTGGTTTGCTGTAAAGTAGCAACCGCAAGAGCAGATCTGAGGCCTCCAAATCTGAGATCAAGAAAAATCCTGGGTTACTTCCTGTAGTTTGGGAGTAAGGTGATGTCATGAATGGTCAACGGATGCATCTCACTGGGATTCCTTGGTGCTGTCTCTTTGAGTTTTGCTGACACTGCGGCCTCACTTTGGATTAAAGCTAAACGCCAGAAACAATACAGTTTTTGTCTTTCACAACTTTCTAGACTCTCTCTATTACCCGAGCTCTTTCACTCGGATGAGATAAATGTCATATATTTTTTCAAAATGGGCTATGCAATTTCCCCTAGCAGCAGGACACTGTGTTTCTGTTTGGAACAGTAGTTAAACAGTGGGAAACGGCACGCTGTTGAACACTACTGTCAGTATTTCCTGCAGCAGCAGGAACGTGTACAGCGTGTCAGACTGAGTCAACTTAATGGGCTCGCTGGCACACAGGTAAACTGAAAGACTTTAGATCTGACTCGCAGGAAAAATGCACTTTTGTTTTGGTGTTTTTACAATGTTTTCTTTGCTAACAGGATGGCAGAACATAAAACCTTCCTTTGACCTTCAACTTTTAGGGCCTTGAAAACCAGTTTTTCAAACAGTACTACCTGCCAGAGACAGGGAGCTGTGGGCTGTTTCACAGGAGTGTTTGTGTGTTTGATAAATTCTAAAGCTGCTCGGGCAAAAGCAAACAGGGAGGAAAATAAGGACTTTTCTGGGGTGCTTGGTCACGCTGATCAAAACAGCCTTTTACTACTAGATGCAAAATTCCTCAAAGTAAAAAAACACAACACCACATTACATGTGTGCACGCTGAACGATGTTCAATCTGCGAATGTGCCCGAGGCCCTGCAGAAGGTTCACACAGCTGACAAGTTCAGAGCTCTCATTGGATGAAGAAGTGATTCATGTATGTTTTGAAGGTTAGCGTCACGAGCGTGCCTCGTTTTTGCAAACACTTACAGAGGCAGCGGATGCTGAAATAGCCTCTGTTGTCACACACATGCGAAGACACACAAAGGTTGGTTGGTGTCATATCGGCTCTGAGCCTTGTTGCTCTGTGAAGGTTGCTGGTTCAGTTATATTAGCACTAATGGGTTTTCTGTGTAATGATTGAGCGTAAATTTCCACTCCACTGCGTACAAACAGGCACGGGGCTGCTACGTTGTTATGCAAATGGTCGCGGCAGTGATGCGCTCTAACAAATGAAGTGTAGCAAATGGGAGACGGGGTCAATGAGGCAGAGAAATTTCGAAACGCTCACAGGGCAGAACGTTTTTAATTTTTAAAGGGAAATAAAAGTGAAACTTTTGGATGTGCTGAATATCGGTGAAGCTTTCGTTTAAATTAATTGAATTTTTCAGGGCGGAGTTACCCGAGCTGAAACACAGCCGCGACGAGACGTGACAGTTTCTATTAGTTGCCCGACCGTCCGAATCCACGCAGACAAAAGTGACAAATAAATGATGTGAAAGTCTTTACACCGAGGTGTGATATGGAGAATAAATCAGCTCACCATTGTTGTTTCGGCGATGGACCCGAAGCTGTTGATGAAAATGTTGCAGGTTACGTTGACAGGCGGACCTGGAGAGAGGGAGCAGAGAGACACGAGAAGTTAGAGTTCATAATATTTATGCAGACAGAAGACGTGGAGACGTGTTCGTCATCACAGAACGTGGAAACCTGCTCGTGAGAGCTGACTGCAGAGCTCAACACTGCATCAACACTGCAAGCAGCTTGAATTTGAGTCGGTATTGAAGCTGTAAAGAGTGAATGTGTGCATTGTGGGTAATAATTTCTGATGAGCCTTTAGATGTTGTTCCACTTCTAAAAGAGCTTTCATTGATTTGACTACTTTCACTGAGGACATGTTGAATTTCTGAGGAAATTAATTAAACTTAGGCATGAAACTTAGGCTGATTTTCCTCTGAGTGTTTGTGTGTGTGTGTGCGTGTGTGTGCGTGTGTGTGCGCGTGTGTGTTTTAAAAACCGAGCGAGGCTGACAGTGATCACTGACTTTTTTATGGGGCTTGTTGAAATTAAACAGCACAATATACAAATCATTAAAACATGTTAAAAACACAACAACCTTAAAAACACAGAGTAGTTTGGACCCGGAAGCAGTGTTCACATGTCATCACTTAATAACCGGATTTCTAGCAGAGTCAGGGGTCAGCATGGACACCCTGACTGATCTGCAGCTCCATGCACAACAAACTGTGACGCTCTGTGTATCCTGACTCCTTTCTATCAGAACCAGCATGAACATTTCCTGCAGATTGAACTACAGCAACCACTCTGTTGGATCGGACCACACGGACCAGTCTTCGTTTCCCACGTGCATCATCAGTGAGCCCTGAGCCAAATACTCACGCTCACACATATTTCCAGCTTCCAACATCAACTCTGATGACCACCTGATATCTCCCATCCACTAACAGGTGCCATGATGGACAGGTAATCAGTGTTACTCAGAATGCTGGGCCTGGTTGGTGTCTGCAGCCTCCTGCTTTACATTCTCCTCACTGCTGATAATTGCTGCACTTTGTCGGGGTTGGTTTACAGCGTAAGATTCTTCTTGTCTTCTGAATCGATGTAAGCTGAGTGGATGTGTTTGCGTGTATCAGTCTGCATGTTGCCGGATATTAAAGCAGCAGAGAAGATTAAAGCTGAAGCGAGTTGATGGCTGACTGCAGGAAGTAAACAAAGTGAAAGAAACCTTCTGCTGCGGGAAAGTTGGCTTCAAACACTGGCTGAATAAACAACTCGCTTTTCCAGACTTAAACGTTCTGACGGCGTCCTACTGCCTGACAACAGCAGGAAGTGTGTCCCAGAGGCGCTGAGACGAGGAAATGCGCAAACCTCTCATTACAACTCGAGAAAACTACAAACGAGAAAACCAATTACACATCCCCCCGAGCCTTGAAAAGCCCTTTGGTCAAACTCGAGTGGTGTCAATAAACCCACAGTGTCTTTCAAAGGGAATCATAACAACCAAGACAGTCTGCCCTCTCTCTCCTCTCAGAGACGAGACACCGCGTCCAAGGTTGATGAGTTAGTTGAGGTGAGAGTCAGCAGCCTCGTGCACCATTCCACGATTCTTTGTCTCACTGGATTCTACAAACACAAATACAGTAAGACGCATGAACACCGACCCAGCAGTTCAGCTCTCCTCTGTTCCAATCACACTGAACCAACCCCAGCTTCCTCTAAAGCAAGTGTCGAACTCCAGGCCTCGAGGGCAGGTGTCCTGCAGGTTTCAGATGTGTCCTTGATCCAACACATCTGATTTAAATGGCTAAATGGCTTCAGAGTTCGTGTTTTTTTCTCTTTTCTCTTTCCTTTCACTCATTATAATCTGTCTGAACTCTGAAAACTAAGTCAAGCTGCATCAATGAATGTAGAATAAAAAGTCAGTTTTCAAATATGAAACTAACATTTAATATGCTAAAGGTTGACACTATAATAAATCCTTGTAGCCTCAGTCAGTCAGTCAGATTATTGCATGAGCGATGAAAGAGCAGGTGGCGTGATAATGGCTGGTGCAAGGAATAAAACTAAATACTGAAACACAGATTCAACAAAACACCACTGAAATAACTAAATAAGACATTTATTAAAAACATTAGATGTGAGGATTAATAAGACAAAAGGTTTTGTGTCCAGTTTCAGCTTGAACCTGCAGGTCTGTGATTCTTCAGGCCGCCTCTAATAATTTGGCCTCCCAAGGTTCCCCAAAACAGTTTTGGGGAACCTTCTCTGTTAAACGGCTGATTGAACTCAAGTCTTCACATACACATCTCCACTGCAGACACCTGGTTTCAAAAAAATCACTCTTTTGAGCGTTCTCCCCTCTGATCTTCCTTATAAACATTTTTAGCACATCACGCTCACTGGTGTACTACACCAATAAAAATCCTCCCAGTAGAACCAATCACAGAGGCCTCGTCAGCTCTGATATCATGTTTCATCACAGTATCATCTCAGTCTGCATGTTTCCATTCATCAGGCTCAAAGAACTTCACAGCTCCAGTAGGAGCAGGATGATCCTCAAATGAAGCATTTTCCTTGTATTGGATTTAAGTCTGCAGACACAGTATGATCAGTTCTTTGTCTGTGAGATAATTACACTAATAACTGCCTACATATTTCAAATACATTTTTGTAAACAGATTACTGTAATCCGATTATTTTTAATCCATTTCCCATTAGAGATCTTAGAAAAAAATGTATTTGATTTTTAATGAGTCAAACGGCTGAATCACACATGTTGATGTAAGTTAAGGTCTCTCTCACACACACACAGTCTGCCTTTAATGTCCCTGGTTAAACTCGATGTCTAATTCTAACTGCTGGCGGCTAGCTGGAAATGAAGGAAGGGGTCTGGATTATTTTGAAGGCCAATTACGCTCTCTGTCACAGTGTGAGGAGTGCCGGAGGCATACACACAGACAGCTGCGGTCACCGGGTTGACGGCGTATGGTTAAAAGGTAAAAGATCATCAGAGGCTGGCACAGGCGATGGATGGTCATGTGACATCTACAGCATCATATTTACGCAAACGACAGATTAGTGACGCGGCCGTGTGAGGAAACGAGGGCGAAGCAGAAAGAGTGACTGAGAAACGGAGATATTAAATGAACCTAGTTGGTTTCCACTGTGGCAAAAGAAAGTGGCTGCATGCGAAATGAGTTTATTCCACTGTAGCAAAGAGAAATCACCGCATTCTGCAGGTGGAGGAGGAGAGGAAGACATTTAACCTGCCAGCATTTGGGGTTCATTTACTTCAGATGTGATAGATAAGGGATGCTCGAAGTAGACCCGTGGGAACTGTGGAAGATTAATGCTGGTTACAGTCACGTCTAACACTCACCGACTCTGCTGTGTTTCTGTTTGTTCTGCATCTGTCATCTGTCTTCTGCACGGTACCCAGAGCTCTCCAACCATGTAAATATACAGCTTATGTGTTTGGTATGCTTCAGATTTACACCCTCGATGTTAAATGCAAACTTTAAAATGCGAGAAGAAGAAGAAGATCAGAGCCGTCGGCTTTCAGGCTTCTCTCATTTCCACAAGTTTAAAATATTGTTTTGCTGCAGTCTGTCTTCTGAAAGGGAGCGTTTCTATTTTTCTAATGTTAATAGTTTCATGCTTTACTTCATCAAACCAAAGATACATTAACGTGCCTGAATGATCGAAATATGTTTTCCAGCCTGTATCTGTGTAGAGCAGAGGATTTTGGAGGAATATATGATGAAATATCACACACACACATATGATTCAGAGAAAGCTACTGGGTAATATTTTATGTAATGTGTGTACACTTTAATATAAAACCTACTGAGTCTGTAATTAAATACACTGAATGAAAATGTCTGTAACAATGTCTGTGCATTTTGTCACGTGTAAGATTAATTCAAGCACTGATATAAATTATGCAGCGCGTTCATTTTTTCTGTATCCATATTTTAATATTGTGCATTTTGTTAAAATCTGCATATTTTAGTGTAGCAAAACTTGTTTTTAAGACAAGTGGGCTCCTGGTAAACTATTATCCCTGCCCGACTTCACCCGTGTGATACGAGGTGAGCGCAGGCTCTGAGTGCATCACAGGGTTTATCCATAAAGCGGCTGGAATTACATTATCACCGTGATTTCTCTCAGAATGGCTTTTCAGGCCTAACTCGAGTCCTCTGACACGTTTCCTCAGCATCCCGGCTTTGTTCACAATCCCTCCTTCAAAGTCCTCTCGCTCCGTGGTGGGAGGGTGGTGAGGGGAGGATATCGCAATTTGTCTTTTCTTCCTGACGTCCCTCAGAGCACGTGACGCAAAAATCTGAGGAGGAGAAGGAGAAGCTAATACCTACTGAAAACCTCCTCCTTCTCCTTCTTTTCCACCACAGCGGTTCATTTAATAACCATGCAGTGAAGGAGAGGAGAGAGAGACAGTTTTCCATTATTGCTTCCCACTGAAGACAGAGACGAGAGGAAGAAGCAGCAGCTCGTTAAGTGTCACAGAGGACGGGTTGGCACCGAGTCACAGGATCCTGTAGCTTATATCGGCCTCAGCGTGCGAGCCAAGCGCTGAGAGCAGACGTGAGTGCGCTTCTACAGGCACGAGAACGGTTACATAACGCGCTCTCTGCATCATGAATGAAAGGGAGATTTCTCAATTAAACCGTCTGCTTTCAACTGCAGACAGAATCAGTTTCAGAATCTCATCACGTGCTGGCATATTTCTGAGTGCAGAGTCTTTTAATTAGTGCTCATTAAAATGCATGTGAACAATTTCAATTAACGGAACTATCTGTTCTTATGCAGATTTTATGTAAACACTGTTCAGAAACCTAAACATGAACGACCTTTTTTTAACTCTGGTTATACAGGATGTTAAAAAATTCGTCGTGGATATTTCTAAGCGGTGTCGGCGGTGGTGTAAGGCTTCCATCCTCACACACATGCTGATGTTGATGGTCATGCTGGTGTTAATGGTCTGTCCAGCTGTGGCTGAAATACCGTCAAAGGGGAATATTAATGTTGAAAACAATGTGAGTCTCAGCTCTTTGGACGTCTGTGTTCAGTTG